CATTTACCACGGACCTTCCATTATCACTTCCTTGAAATCATGATTAAGTTAATATAAATATTCACATATTGAAAGTGCTCTACTCACCTGGTGAGAGACACTTAAGAGCACTATTGCTAGATGATAGTGTAAAGCTATGTTTAGCTCTATGATAAATAGTCCAACTGTTTTCCAGAGTGGCTGTAACATTTTGCACTCCCACTTAGCAGCAAACGAGAGTTCCCTTGTTCCACATCTTCATCAGCATTGGGAAGTGACAGGTGACTGGGCTCGGGGCCTGTTTTAACAGGTGTTTAGTGGCATTATCATGAAAACTTGCAGTTCCTTGATGACATACCATGTCCAGCATTTCTTTACATGCCTGTCATCTGCAGCATCTTCTGCAGTGAGGTTGTCTACTGGTCTTTTGACCATTATCAATGGGTTGATTTTCATTCTTAGTTTTGAGTTTGAGGATTTCTTTGTGCATTTAAGAACCACCGTCTCCCTTCCTTACAGATTTCTATTTATGTGAGAGAATGTATATTATGAGTGTGCAGGTGCTCCCAGATGTCAGAAGGAGGTGTCAGATCCCCTGGAGCTGGAGTTACTGACAATTTTGAGCCACCCAAGATGGATGCTGGGACCTGAACTTGAAGAGTAGTAGTAGTAAGCACCCTTCCCCATGAGCCATCTCGAGCCCTATAGCCAATACCTTTATCAGAGATGTTTCCAAGTATCTTTTCCGAGCCTATGGCTTTCTCATTCTGTTGATGGTGTTTTTCACAGAACAGACTCTGTTAGGCTTTAGTGATTTTTAGCAGCATATTTTTCCTTCTCAACACTTTTGGTACTGTACATAAAAACTCATTTTTCAGACCCTAGGGCCATACAAGTTTTCTCCTATGCTACTTTTAAACCTATTATTTACAAATTTTAAGCTTTGTTCTTTATGTTTAGGTCTATGACACATTCTGAATTTCTGTTTATTCCTTGGCATGTGGCTTTCCAGTTGCTCTAGAACCATGTTAAAATGACTGTCCTGTCTCCATTGATTTGCTTTTGCTTCTTTATCAAAGATCAGGTATCTTTATCTAAGTTCTTGATTCTGTCACAGTGATCTACTGCTTATTCTTTTGCCAATACACTGTCTTAATTACTGTAGTTTATGGTAAGTCTTAAAGTTGGACAATGTGAGCCCCATTTTTGTTCATCAGTACTGTGTAGACCATTCTGGGTATCAAATAGTCTGTCCCTTACATAGGGCTCCTAAAACCCTTGTAAATAAAGGTGCTAGAAAAATCTTTATCTCATATTCATCTTTGATACTAGTCCTGCCACAGATCCCCTAAGATCTTTCTAATTTCCTGAGTTACAGGATTTGACCCAGAATTCGTAAACCTCTTGGAATTTCTTGTGTAAGGAGAACAGCTTTTGTCCTGATAGACTCCTAGATCAGTGCTGGATACAAAAAAAAAAAAAAAAAAAAAAAAAACACAGCTAGATGCATGAGATTTCTGTCTCCATCCCAATCTTCCAGGGAGGAGAGGGGAGAAAAAAAGTTTAATAACCAATCATGCCTTCCCCCAATCTCTAAAACATGGAATTTGGAGAACTTCTAGGTTGGTGAATATCTCAGCATGTGAAGAGGGTAGCAAACCCATCTCCACAGGGACAGAAACGCATGTCCAGAGCTTTTCTAACCTCTCCCTCTGTAGCTCTTAATTTTTCTGTATCCTTTGAAATACCCTTTATAACTAACACCAAATGTGTTTCTGAGACCAAAAGCTATTCCAATAAATGACTGCTCCAAAAAAGAGAGTTGCACAAACATCCAACTCATAGTCAACTGGTCATCAGTACAATTTGGTTGTATATCTGGCATCTGAAGGGTAAGCCCATAAAACCGAGACCTTAGCATGTGAGTTCTAACTCGAAGTAGACAGTATTAAAACTGAACTAAATTGTAGGACACCTAGATGGAATTGGAGAATTGCTTGGTATGGAAAGACCTCCCACTCATCTGGTGGCAGAAGTGAAATTTTGAATTTTTTTGGTGAGAATACAAAATAAAAGCATTTTTCTACATATTGGGTATTTTGCTTTTCCATATAAACTTTGCAATCAATTCACGGAATCCACAAAATAATTTTGTAGGGACAAGGATTATCTTTAGTCTCTACATCAGGACAGGAAGAACTAATACCTCAATGATACTGAGTTTTCCTCTCTAATGTGGAATCTCTCCATTTATTAAATCTTTGACTTCTTTGGTCAGAGTTTATAACCTAATTTATGTCACTACTGTGCATGTTTGATTTGTAAGTACTTCTTTTTTTTTTTTCCAAGACAGGTTTTCTCTGTGTCCTGGAACTAGCTCCATAGACCAGGCTGGCTTCGAATTCACAAAGATCTGCCTGCCTCTGCCTCTCAAGTGCAGGGATTAAAGGCGTGCACCTGCACCAACCACCACCACCCAGCAAATTCTTCTTGTTTAGTACTTTCAAATTTCAATTGTTTGTTGCTATACTTAGCCTCCCATCTTATTATATAACTATAATCACTACATAGCTTCAGGAGCTTTTTGTTGGTTCTTGGGAGTCATTATATAGCTAATCATGCTATCTGCAAACTTATTTCTTCCATCTTATTGTATCAGCTAGGATTTCCAGTGCAATGTTAAACAGAAGTGGTTGGAGGAGGTATCGTCACCCTATTTCTGTCTTAGAGGTAAAGTACCTAGTTCCTTGTCATTAAAGGTGTTAGCTTCTTGAGATTTTAAAAGTTCTTTTACTCCTGGTTTGTTCCAAGCTGTGGGTTTTTTTGTTTGTTGTGTTTTCTTTATGGATGAAGGTCTTTTTTGGATTTTGTCAAATGCTTTTCTGCATCTATTGATGTGATCATGTGATTATTATTTCTCTTTTAGACTGTTGAAGTGATAGATAGCAGTAATTGATTTCAAATATTAAATCAGCATTGCACACCTGAGATAAATCCCACTTGGTTGTTGTATAATTTTTATTCATTACTAGTTTTGATTTATTAATATATGCCTAAAGATTTCTGCATCTGTGTCCAAGAAAGATAAATGGTCTATAAAGTTGTCTTTTAAAAATATAAACAAGCTGAGAAATCAGTTACAAAAAGTCAGTTACATCCAAGCAGCAAATAGTTTGATGAAATTGTTCTTCTGAAACCTAAAACTGCATCATTGCTATTAGGCAAGTGTATTACTGATTAAAGAACACAGATCAATTAGCAATGAAGAGAAGCTCAAGTCACTGCAGTATTCAAAAGCATAACAGGCTACAGTACACAAAATCTTCCTTCAGTTTTTTCATTATGAATGAGAAGGAGGAGTACAAGACAACTGAGTGCATGAAGGAAATCTAAGTCACCCTTAACAGGCTGTGCCAGAGAGATAGCCTTGTCTGGACCTTTAACATACAGGTGCTAGGCCCTGAGACCTAGCTTCCACGTGATCTTGTAAACAAGGCTTTGTGATAGGAAAACTTGTCTCTACTTAGGGCTATTCTAGCTAGAAAAGCTATCTCTTTACACACCTACACCACTGTTTTTTTCTATTACATCAATAAAATGTTTTAAAGACTGCCTTATTTATTAGCTTTTCAGTCAGCAGTTTCCACATTGCCAGTTTCTTCTCATTGACAGCTTGCCTGCATGGCTGAAAACTGAACTTCTGATAGAATAAATCCAACCTAGCAGAAGGATGGGACAGAAGGCAGAGGGATGACAGCCAGCATCCTATGTCTAAAAGGGGGCAGGAGTTTTACCTGTGAGTAAACCGTTTAGAAGAGAAACTGTGAAGGGAAAGTCCCATGAATCCTTTTTAGGAGCCATGGTGTTAAGACCCATGATGTCATCTGCTTTCTGTTAGCTTTAGTTAGCTGAACACAGAGGGCATGTAAATGGTACCATGAACCTAGTATGCTGAGCAGATTTTATAAGTAGTATCCTGAACTGAATGCTGGATGGACACAGACACACATGGACATGGACACACACACACACACACACACACACACACACACACACACACACGAGAGAGAGAGAGAGAGAGAGAGAGAGAGAGAGAGAGAGAGAGAGAGAGAGAGAGAGAGAGAGAGAGCTGATTTATAATGTGATCGTGTTAAGAACTCTTAGGAGAAAGTGAATGCAAACAAAGCAAAAGACAACTGTACATCTCAAACAGGCTGAACTTTTAAGAAAGGATATTTCAAAAATTGCAGGAAAAGGTTAGATAGTCTGGTAGCTAAAGGCTCTGGAAGAAACTCCCCTGGAAAATGAAGTATCTGAAAAAAACCAGTGACCCTTGCACTAACCAGGCAGCTCAGGTTTAAAAAGGCCACTGACCAAAGGAAAAGCAGCAGCGCTTACTAAGGACATACAGAAGCAGTGTCCACGGGGACTATCTTCCCGTTCATGTGCTCCTCTTCTCCTTCCAACAGCAGCTCACCCTCTCTCCTCACCCCTCTTGACTCACAGTAACCTCTCCTCTTCCTATCTCTAAGAACTTAGTTATTACTTCTAGATGTCCTTGCCTATCAAATTCAACTTCAAGCTGGGAGAATGCCAGGTCCATGCTATATAGCTTGGTGTGCCCGTAGTGCCTGTCAACAATGCCTCCAAACAACTGGATGATAAAGGAACAAATCAACCAGAAGTCAATACTTTTTTTTGGGGGGGGGTGCTTTTGTGGTTTTTGTTTTTTGTTTTGAGACAGGGTTTCATTATGTAACCCAAACTGGCCTGGAACTCACTATATGGTTTCAGGTAGCCTCTCCTGCTTCAGCCTCCCAAGGGCCAAGATTATAGGCATGCCCACCAGGCCTGTCTCTGAAATCATGCTTTTGAAGGAAAGTAGAAAATAGCAGATATAAGAACAAAGATTTTGAGCTTGCATTGTAAATTATACTAAGACCTAATTCAATTCAAATCAACTATGTAACAAGTAGAATGACTAGTCACAGTCACCTGAAACTACAAAAATAGCACCATACCTGCAGGAGGCTTTCTATGGCATGAAAGCCTCGAATTAAATTCAGAGCTCCACATAAAAGACTGAGGATAAATGCCACAATCCCTGACAGAGTTGCTGGTTCCAGTCGCTGATGGGCTGGAAAAGAAAACATTGTTAGAAATTATCTCGTGTTAGCTGAGCTTATGTGAACCCAAATTCACTGCTCAACTTAGATGGGTTGAAAGTAAATAACTTTAAACAATATATCTTAGTAATTAAATATCCCACCCCCAAGGCATGATTTCTCTCTGTAGCCCTGACTATTCTGGAACTTATCTATAGACCAGTCTGGCCTCAAATTCAAAGATCCACCTGCTTCTGCCTCCAAGTGCTGGGAATAAAGGTGTGTACTCACCAGACCCAGCTTAAATATTATTTTTAAAATGAAAAATGTTTGACAATATAAAAAGTCCCATTCTCAAGTCAAATGGAACTAACATTGTCTTTCTACATTTTATTAGATGCCTCTAATTCCTATGTATGACAAGAGATGTCAGTAAATCACTTAGGAAAAAAAACCTACCAAAATATGTGTACAATTTGCAATTTGGTACAAGCATTTGCAAAAGATGACTTTGCTTGTAGAATCAATGCAAAGCTCCTATGCTTCCCGAAAATGCTTAGGAAACATTCTTAAGGATAAATATAGCTTGCTTTTAGGCAAAGTCCACATATTTGGGACAGAACACCACTGGCTTTATGTGAAAACCCATAGATAGTCACCACCCGAGCTCTTCAATAGAATGCAGTCTTGCAGCTAGGAAGACTGGGACCTTGATCTCTTCAAGGTAAAAATGATTAAAACAAAACCAAAGCAAAAACAAATTGGCTGCATATGTGACCATTTCATCTTTAAAAGCATTCCTTTAATTCTCAGGCATCAACAAAGTAAAATATTCTGTTATACAATCATTTCCCTTCATAATCATTTTACAGTTATTAGGATTTACAATTGTGACTAAATGAAAACACAAACTAAATACATAATCCACATAATCAGTAGACTCAAAAAGTACACTGTCAAAGAGGACAACAGAACCACATTTTCGTTACTTTATTTAAACCACTGAAGTGTAAAAACCCAACAATGAAGTTATTGAGGCAGAACATTAATAAAGGAAAAGCTCAGGTCTTTGCAAATTATATTCAATCATCACAGCAGAAAAGATTCCCCAAAGAGTTAATAAAAACCAAAAACCCACATCTCACGAACTGTTCTTCAGGATCAGCAGAAAGTACTAATCTAGAATAACATTCATAATTTCTTCTTTCCTGTGTCTAGTCTTTCAGTAAATTCCCTTGAGACTCTAATATGAAAACAGAAAATCAAATGTTGCTGTGTAGTATTGATACCATGGTCTTTTGACAGTGGAAAAAGTCACATTTAGTCATATTTTGCAACATCTGTCCCTCCTGGTCCACCCTTTCTTAGTAAGAGGGGGAACTGGCATCTCATAAAAAGCAAATAGGCTTTAGGAAAACAACCAATTGACAACTGAATAATTATCAAATATAATTGTCAAGTCATACTTCCATATGAAACAAGTTAACTCCCATACTAAACCCAAACAGTGAAAGTTTTAGCTTTACATGGTCAAGCGAGGTGTGTTCAAAGAAAATCTGCTTCCATTTTCATGTGTTGATGGCAATGTATTTAAGAAATGAACAAGACAATATGTATTATTAAGTTCCTAACACTTGCCTTTCAGCCTCAGAACATGTGCTTTATAATAGCATACCATTTATGAGTTCATCATTTCAAAACGACCAAAGGTATTTTTAAAGGGTAAAAGCGAGTACTAAGCCTCCTTTAATGCAGACAAGGAAAGTGTTGTACACAAGAGCAGGCTGGGATGGTGCAATTTAATGTTGATCTCCCTGCTTTATCTTCACCCCTTTCCTAGGACCTATGGCTTGTTTTACAAGAAGAGTTATCAAGCAAACTTCATTCTGTACACACAAGAGTTGGCATCATAGAAGGGCACTCTCCCAGTTTGCTAAGCAAACAAGATATTTAACCACATTTTAATGTATTCATTATGTGCTATTATTTCTATTCTATTCATTTATTCTAGATCTTCTGTAACCCAATGAGGGTTTGCAACACATTCAGTTTGGTATCATGTCAGGAACTAGTAGGTATAGCATATATTTGAAGCCATAACAAACAAAGGGCTATTCAGGAAAAACATGGGTTGTGTTTTGTTTCCTGAAGCCAGGATCATTACCTGAACAGCCTTTTCATTTTGCTACTGTCAGATGTGCAGAGCGCCAAACACACCTGGGGCAGGGGGGCTAGAAGGAATACGTGGCTAACAGTGCCTCCAGAAAGGCTAGGAAACATCTGGATACAAACATTAAAATGCTACCCAATCTATTATCCAAGAGATGTCTGCTGACAAGGTAGTTTCAGGAGCAAAGTTAAAGGCAAAATTCAGACAGCAAGAAGTAACAGGTGATGCTGAGGAAAAAGCATGGGTGTGTGTTTGTAGACAGTAAGAATGGAAGATTAACACCAAACAAGATTGAGTCATTCTCACACAACGTATATAGTGAAGGAAGACAGTTCAGGGAAGGCTGCAACAGGAGAAAAAAAAAAAAGGGAGGAGGGGGACTAAAGCAGCTATCATGAAGATTTACAAAGATGGTAGACTAAACCACAGCCCCTCTGCCCCATCCACTGAAGAAACCCAACATCTAGAGAAACAGGCTATTAAGATAAGGGCATTTCAGGCCTGTTCTCTTAGTGAACACAACTTATTTCCTACAGTACAACATATAATACTAACTTGATGACATGCTTTCCTAATCAGAATCACAATCTTTTGTTTCTTTTCTCTCCCCTTCCCCTCCTTTTTTTTTTTTTTTTTTTGAGTCTGGCCTCAAACTTATGATCCACCTGACTCAGGCTCCTGATTGCTAGCTTTACAGGCATTTTCTATCTACAATTCCTGGTCAGCCTTGTATTTTTTTTTATTAGATCATATTCTTATTCCAATCTTGAAAGTGTTTACTATCTTTATAAAATGTCTTCACAATATTTAGCATAATAATTCAGAGAAAAGGCTTGGACAAAATAGAATAATATTTTCTGATAACTGATTAGTTGTCTACAAAATTTCCAAAACAGATGAAGATTACAGAGATGTCAGAAACTGAAGGCATTTATGACGTGTTAAAAAGAAAAAGTAGAAGCAGAATGAATTTTAAAAGACTAACATTAAATAATGGTAAGGGTTAGTTAAAGACCCTCTAGCAGTCTCTCCCTCCCAGAGATTGGGCCACGCCTCCATGAAACTCTTCATCTCTAGGTCAGAGTAGACAAGAAAGCAACCTATTGTAGCCTTGCAGCCCTTTCTCTCCAGGTGTAAGTTTATGGCCCTATCTAGTGTCTCTAAAATACTCACCACTTAGCCCTGGCCCAGCTAGATCACATGCTATGAAAACTTACCTACTCTCCCAAAAACTCTAGAGTCAGAAACTTGTTCTTGGGAACAGAAGAGTATGTCTCCCTTCAGGACCCCAGTCATGCTATACATGGCAGCCATCTCTCCTAAGGAAATGCTCCTCAGAATTTAAAGGGAATTCTCCCCCCCCATCCCCTTTAAGGCCCCATTATGATATCTATGGCCATGACGATACATTTCTCCTAATTCCTATCCCACTTCACAGTCGAGTCATGGCTGCCCATGCCCATGGTTGTGAGGTTCTCCTATAAAGCTCATTCTGAAGGGTAATTTTGTGTCCATTCTTTTCTAAGTTATAACAGTTACTTGTGGGAATGTAAAATAGTACAAATACCCATAAGTTTCTTAAAGACTTAAGCATGCAACCTATCCTGATCCAGAAATGCTGTTCCTGATATTTACTCAAGGAAAATAAAATATGTCAACAAAAACACCTAGCTCTTTTTACAGTAAGTAAAAGCTGAAAACAAGGCAATGTCCATCAGCAAGAGAATATCCTGTAGTATATCTGCACAAAAAGTACTCAGACATGCAATACACATATAAAACATTATATTAAAAAGCTGTATACAAGAGCCACACAACATGATCCTATTGAGTAATATTCTAGAATGAATAAAATTAAGATAAATCACAACAGTGGTTGACTGGGAAAAAGCACAGAGGAAATACATGGGGCAGATGGAAATGTTCCATATTGTTAAGCAATAATATATTATCATGTATTTTTATCCTGTATTTCTGAAGGTTTGACATTTTGGGACTTTGCTCTCTTAGGATTAGCTAAATCCTAAAGATGATAACTTGCTCTAGAGAAACTTTCTCTTGCCAACAACCAATCTTGATTTTCACACCCCACCATCTGGCCCTCATACTCAGGGACACTAACTGATTTCCTGCCCAATCATCCCAGGGTTAGACATCAAGTAGACACAGCCTATACCCCACTGCCCACATTATTCAGACTAGCCACGCCCAAACCAGTCTTAACTAGTCCTTATCTTGAAAACCACAATAAGGGTTCTTGCCCATAGTTGCTCTTTCCCTTCCCTAGGGAAACAACCTTTTTCAGTGTTTTTTCAATGACAATCATTCTAATGATCTGCTGACCACACCATATTTGAGTAAAATATTAAAACATCCATTTAAAAATATTTGTGTATATAAATTTCCTTTTAAAACAAAAGAACTATAGAAATAAATTACCAAGTAGCTGAATGAGAATAGGTAGAGAGCAGATAAAATAAAAATGGAAAAACCATCAATACAGTTGCTTAGTTGCATGAATTGATTACACTATTTTGTTTAACATTCATACACCTGAAAATTTCCATAGTAAACCATTTTAAAAAGACAAGGAAAAAGCAAGGTTTACTACTTCATTTAACAAGACCCATTCACTCCATCATGGACAGATTTCAGTAACTAATCACGGCAATATAAAAACATTCATGCTAGGCCACAGGGAGAAAGGATCAAAGGATTTCAAAGAAAAGTCAAGAAATGCTTTTAAAGTGACTTAAAAATCACTGTAACAAAGTGGGGGGGGAGCTTGAAAACTATATAATTTTAGTTAGAGATTCTCTCTTCTCAAAAAAGAAACCTGCATTTTTACCTTAAGGATCATAG